TCTTTTGTGTGTTTCTTGCCTAGTTTATTCCCAAGGATGGTATCTGCTAACTCCATCCTGTAATTCTTTTTCGCATAATACCCCTATATTAATATTTATTACACTTTCAAAAAAACGAAGAAATTCGAGTTTTATTTTTCCCTCAAACACTATGCTGTCATAGGTTACTCCATAAGTAGCTGAAATGAAGTAATGGCTGAGGAAAACATTATCTTCTCTTTCCACTCATTTCATATGCTTTTGTCTGAACACTATTGAGGTGACAAAAAACAAAATCAAACACCTGTCCTTCCACTCTAAAAACATTTCTAAAAAATCAAGTCCTTCAAATGGAAGGTTCCAGGCTATTTTTAAAGCTACCTGGGAGAAGAATTAAATATAATTATGGGTCATCTGAAAAACAGCATGTCAGTAATGCTACTTTAATATTCTTCAAGGGCATACATAGCTTCTGGAATGTCCCAGAAAAAAAAAATATATACTTAAACAAAAAAAAACAAACTACAAACCCGATGTTTTTAATTAAATGAAGGATTCAGTTCATTTCTAATGAAAATACTGATACTGAACAAAGTGTCCAGAAATACTTGTGACATTTCCAGATTCTACAATGTACTGTTTCTTTTTTCCTCTTAAATAATATTGATATTCAAATTCTTCCTATATAATCAATTTCATTATTGCCACATTGTAATTTTTTTCACTGTTTCATTATAGTTAGTAGCTAACCCAAGATGTAACACTTCTTTTAGCATAATCTGACCAAAATCTGAATTTAAAATCATGGTTGCCCAGGTAAGGAGCAAGGAGGGTCAGATAGAGGGAGAGGGTGACTGTCGGAGGGCACAGGGACATTTACCACTTTATCCCAGTATGCAGCAGTCTAGTACCCAATAAGTGTAGCCAGTGTGTGAAATTAATATTTATGGAAGACCTGCCAGGTATCAAGGTTTGTTTCTGCGTTTCTTATCCCAATTAATCCTCTTAATAGTACTATAAAGTATTATTACCACCCCCAATTTATAGATATGGATATTACCTCAAAATGACCTGAATATGGCTTAGTAAAAGAGGAAAGTGAATAGGAAAAATCATGTTCATAATCATCTAGTTTTATCTTGAGATAAAATGAAAAGTGAGATGACTGTAAGTCAGGAGAAGGCAGGGGGCATATGCATTTTCCAGATACTCTGTTCAGTGATGGTCAACCTCCTGAGTCAGCCAGGCATCCCAATCCTATGACTTTTAGTATCATCTATATGATATGGAGACTAATTGGATGACAAGAAAATCTTCATGTCCAGTTCACAGATTTTCTAAGCTCTAGACTCATGTACCAATCCTCTCTTGACACTGCCATCTGGATGTTTCAACGCACCCAAACAGAAAATATCAAAAACTGAACTAATCAGCTTCCCTTTCTCTTACTGACTAGAATGACCATCCATGAAGTGGCCCAATCAAGAAACCTAGGAGTCATTCTTAACCCTTCTCTTTTACTTCTTAACAACCAATCTCACAGTTCCATGGAATTTTAGATCTTAAAATGTACTAAGAAACCACTCTTTGGGCAGCCCTGGTGGGGCAGCGGTTTGGCGCCGCCTGCAGCCTGGGGTGTGATCCTGGAGACCCGGGATGGAGTCCCACATCGGGTTCCCTGCATGGAGCCTGCTTCTCCCTCGGCCTGTGTCTCTGTCTCTCTCTCTGTCTATGAATAAATAAATAAAATCTTAAAAAAAAAAAAAAAAGAAACCACTCTTCATGCTCTCCACTACCACTCAATCCAGATCACTATCATCCCTTGCCAAGATTCCCACAAACGTCTGCTTAATTGGTATCCCTGGTTTCAATCTTACCTGCCCCCAATTATTTTGGACTTTACAGCCAGTTAGTTACCCATTAAAAATGAAGACTTGAGGGGTGCCTGGATGGTTCAGTCCATTAAGCTGCTGTGTCAGGCTTCCTGCTCAGTGGGGAGTCTGCTTCTCCTTCTCCCTCTACCTTTCCCACTGCTTGTACATGTTCTTTCTCTCTCAAATAAATAAAATCTTTTTAAAAAATTAAGATTTGATAATATTGTTCTCATGCTTCAAACTCTTAACTGGTTTTCCATATACTAAAGGTAAAATCCTAACTGCTTTATGAGGTCCTTTAAACCTCTGTCTACCTTACAAACTCCTGTCTTGCCTTTCCTCTCTCAATGCTACATTCCAACATACCAAAAATGAAACTGATATTCTTTTACTTCAGGTCTTCCCATCTCCTTCACACTGCCTAAAACTTATCTTTACTCCAAACTTGCCAGGGCTAACTCCTGGTTATCATTTAAATATTAGCTTTTTGGGACACCTAGGTGGCTCAGATGGTTAAGTGTCTGCCTTTCGGCTCAGGTCATGATCCTGGGCTCCTGGGATCGAGCCCTGCATCATTTCTCTGTTGTTCACTCTCTCCTAAATAAATAAATAAAATCTAAATAAGGAAAGAAAGAAGAAAGAAAGAAAGAAAGAAAGAAAGAAAGAAAGAAGAAAGAAAGAAAGAAAGAAAGAAAGAAAGAAAGAAAGAAAGAAAGAAACTAACTTCCTTTGGGAAGTCTACTTGGTTTGCCACTCTAACCTAGCTCCACCAAATAAAGGCAAGTGTTCTTATTATATGTTCCCAGAGTGACTTGTACATCCCTTCTAATATCATTTTTAAGTATTTCATTAAAAATAGTTTATTATTATGTAACAGACACTTTCCCAGTGCAGGAAGGCATCCAGTAGAAGCAGCTTGCCTTTGGATCCCTAGCAGTCAGTACAGTGAGTGCCTTGCACAGAACCAGTGCTCAACAAGTATTTTTCAATGAGATATGAAACATCTTTTACTTGTAGAAAACTGGAAAGGGTATGGAAATATATAGCCCCTTATCCTTAAGGGGGATGACATTAAATGCAGAATGTCTGTTATACATAATTATATGATGATAACGAGTAAATAAAACTGACTCCAATTTGAATACATGGGGATTTGTTAACACTGTAAATTGGAATTAAATATTTAGCTCTCCCTTCTAGGATAATCTAATCCACACTAAACACTTCTAGAAGACAGTTTTATGATTTTATATTATAGATGAGAAAATGGGCATGGCAAAGTTAATTGAGTACTCAAAGTTGCCCAGAAGTAGAGCCAGTATTGAAATTCAAAGTCATCAATTTCCAATCTTTTGCTTTAAAAAAAAATTCTGTTTTGTCTTTGACTTCTCAAGGTTCTGTGTGATTATAGGACTTCAATCTAAATACTTTAGTAGTCTTCTCAAAACTATCAGCTGTGATATTTATAATTTGAATACAGAAATTCAGGAATATAGGTCTTTTCAGTGAATTTTCCTCTAGTGTTAAAATGAAAGGTTTTCTGTGATGTGTCTCTGTACTCTTATGCACTCTAAGAGGTGTCAGTTTCTTTGTTCTTAATAAGATGTTACTTCTAGGCACTAATTGCCACCACACAATGCCAGCATTGAACTTTCCTGCTGCTGGACATCATACTGGATACTCTAAATCTATAAATGTCCATAGTTAGTTGGCTGGTACATTCTATTGCACTTGCTGGACATTTTGGTAGAAAATGCTGCCAGTTCTTAATAAATATTTGAGAGGCAACAGAGGCTATTAAATTTAACAGGGTTAGTGGTTCCAACATTTGTATTTGAGAAAAATAAACTAAAAAAGGTTTGTACTATCATTTCAAAAGGTCATATATGTACTATCTACTCAATAAATGTGTTTATGTGTTATTCTGGCAAACATACCATGTATAACCAAAGTGCCTCAAAAAAGACGTTATTACTTTTTCAATATATACATTTAGTATACATGGAAGCTTTGCTCTTCATAACTCTGATATTAATTTCTCAGACATAGACAGGGTGAGTATACATTTGAGATTTTTCCTAGCCCCAGACAGGACCAACCAGGCTGTTTCTTTTTAACTTGACTCTGACTCAAGATATTAAAAGCATTTAATCTGTACAGAATTATGGCCAACACATGCCATTTTTATTAGGGATATAGAGCTATCTTCTTCTTCATTTTTAGATCAATAATATAATTTTCTTTTAACAAAGACACCATTAAATAGAAGAATCCCCAATTATAGAACATTTTCCTTGCTCTTTGGACTTCGCTTGACCCATCCTTCATTTGCCAGAAGCAAACATCTTTACCTCTAAAGCATTCAAGCCAGCTCATTAGATCACTCTTCAGTCCTGCCTTGCAGCTTCCAGGCCCAGAGAGAACTCTAAATGTCCAAAGTATTTACTGTTCTTTATCCCCAGCATGATGTTAAGTGAATTGGTTCTGTCATGTGAGTATAACTGATTATGTTTCCCCTAATAAAGACAGACACTGAGTTACCCATCTGCAAGTTAGCCCAATGTAAAAGGAAGAGAGAACTACCACTGTCAGATGCCAAGTTAACATCAATTGCTCATACTATGGAACTGTCAATTAAAATTCTAGAGTAATCTTTCAAACACGATTTTCCAGTCCAAGAGCCATGTATAAATCCATAGTGAATTAAGAGATATACAAGGTATAAGTCTTAAGCTCCATATATGAGTTAATATTCTTGGTTGGTCATTGGGGGATGACATTCATGGACTCAGAATCCCCTGGACTTTCACTCCAAATGTAGATTCCATGAATTCATCTTCATTCATCAGACCTGTTTTTGGGGGGGGGGGTGGAAATGACTGTGCAAAGGTATTGCTTTCATTTCAGTTCCTATTAAGCTATACCAAAGAATAAAGGTTCCTTTCAAGAGTAGCACTGGGACTAGGAGATTATAAATATTCTCAAACACTTCTAAGAGGAAGCAAATTCTAACTTGGGCTTTAAAATTCTGACATATTTTTCACTCTATTTGTCAGTGGTCTGAATGTGATAACAATAAAGTCTATCAGCGTAAAAACAAATGTTTTTATCCCAAGGATACCTGCTCTATTGGAGAATTTATTTTACCTGCAGAGACTCCATTTCTTCATCTTTTCTGTGGGTCTCCTCCAGGAGATCTATAACAAGAAAGCAAAATACCCATCAAGATAATGTGAAAACGAGTTGCCTCTTATTATCAAACCCAATTCAGTAAAGAGCTTATAAAAACTGTTGCCTGGAAAGAGAACTTGATGTTTAAGTGTGAAAAAGGAATGTAAAAGAAATGCCCTCTGATCTTAGCTGATGAGATGGGACAGAACTCTGGACTCTGCTCATCCTGAGCTAGCTGAGAAGCCCTGGGAGGTCTTGACTCTGGTGAAGGTACCAGAGAATAAGGCCAACTAATTTACAAATCCAAAATCATATCAATATTTTCGGAATTTGGTCAACTGTTTATATAACTCTAAAGTAACACAAAATTTTCTTAAAAAAAAAACTTTTTTCTTTTTAACAAAAAATTAGAAACAAACCATTTGCTCTTAACATAAGCTCCCAAGCCAAGTTCCACCTCCAGAGTCAATTTTTATGATCAAATTAAAACATCCTGGAATAATGGGTGTTATTAATGGAAGTAGAACACCACCTTAACTATAAAGTCATATTAATTATCATTTCACACTAAGAAGGTGGGAAGCATTGAAGCTACATCTGACCAAGAGCTTGGCATCATCTCAGAGAAATTAGTGGCTGGAAGGGAAGGTAGTCAACTGAAAACAGTTCTGTCTAAATTCATGCATATAACCAGGATATCTCAGCACCCTACATTAATTTACAAACTTGCTATAAAGGAAAATATATTTGGCAAGCAGAATTTTCTGCCTGCAGCTATACCACCCTGTGCTATGATCTTATTAGATCTCACAAACCTAAAGAGGGCTGGGCTGAGTCAGAAGTTGGATGAAAACAGGCAAGAAACACCTACAGCAGTGCACATTAATATTAGCATTTGCCTTGCTCTGTGATTGATATAGCTTACCAAGAGGCTGTGCTGCATAAAAGGAGAATATAACTCACAGAAATTCAATATATATCCTAGAAAGGCAAATGCAAATGTTTTTAGCAAGTGCTATACTACATACAGCAGGAAGCAAAACTATAGTGAGTAGCCGAGACATACTGGTATATGTCATAACTGAACAAGCAATACGCTGCAACTTCAGGAGACCTGGCAGACGATATAACTGAGGGTGAGACTGCATGGCTAATTCAGCTACAGAGGAGTTGCAAACAATCCCCTCAAGATACAATGTATTGGGGGATCCCTGGGTGGCTCAGCGGTTAAGCATCTGCCTTCCGCCCAGGGCATGATCCCAGAGTCCTGGGATCGAGTCCCAGGATGGAGTCCCACATTGGGCTCTACATGGAGCCTGCTTCTCCCTCTGCCTGTCTCTCTGCTTTTCTCTCTCTCTCTCTCATGAATAATAAATAAACTCTTTTTTTTTAAAAGATACAATGTACTGGAATTCAGAAGAACAGGTAATTTTTGCTCTGTATCCCATTGAGGAGCTGACTTTGGCTCTCACACCTTCCATAATCAGAGTTATGTCAATAAAGTGAGAGGAGAAAGTCAATGCATTCGGTTGTATTTTTAGAGGGGTTTCTTGTTAGCACATCAGGTTCTTTAGCTATACAGAGATGAACTTGGAGGTGGCAGATTGTTTAAGTGTCTTCAAAAATTTCTCATCCTGAATCCTTATTCATTTGCATTGTGACACTGCAGCTGCTACTATCGGGAGGGAGGCCATACACATCTACTTTCTACATCTCACATCTGTGCTGTCCTCTTGACTTGACTTGCTAAATAGAATACAGCAGAAACTGTACCAATCTGCACTAAGAGTTCTCACACATTTTCTTTTTTTTTTTTAAAGATTTTATTTATTTATTTATTCATGAGAGAGAGACAGACAGACAGACAGACAGGCGGAGGGAGAAGCAGGCTCCAGACAGGAAGCCTGATGTGGGACTTGATCCTGGGTCTCCAGGATCACGCCCCTGGCCGAAGACAGGCGCCAAACCACTGAGCCACCCAGGGTTCCCCTCACACATTTTCACTTTTCCACATGGAACTCTGTCACCACAAGCCCAGGACAACCTGCTGAACAAGCCCAGGACAACCTGCTGGATGACATGGGTCCAGGACACTTCTCACCTAAGACACCCTGCAGGTTGCCTTAACTGGCATCCAACAAATGCCCAAGAGCATAGCTGTCCACAGGCCTGAAGATGACTACAGACGATTCAGAAGGGGAGCCCAAATGAGACCAGACAAACTGCCTAGTGAGCCAGGGCCAACCCCAACTCACAGAATCGTGACCTACATCAATGGAATTGGGGGGTGGTTTGGTACACAACATTTGCTAACATACAGCAACCATTTGTTAACTATAAAAGAAACATTCAGAATTTATTAGAAGAAATATCCAGACTCTACAGAGAATAACAGCTGGTCTGGGATGGTAGGGATATAAGCAGTATGAACTAATGGGCATTTTATCCTGGGTGTCTCTAGTCTTTGTGCCACTCCACTCCAGATGAAATTCTATAAAGAGTAAAGCTAATGAGCCTCACTCAGATCTCCTGCCTACTGCTTGGCTAGGGAAAAGGATAGAGCACCTCCACTGATAATCCCAAAAGGATTAGATGAAGAACAAAAAGGACAGTTTCTAAAAGAAAGATCAGGGTTCTGTTAAGAGAAGGAAGAATGGGTTATCAGGCTAAAAACAATAGTTTCAGTAAATTGTGTCTTCAGCACGACTCTTTTGAACAGTCACAATATATAAGTTCATACTGTGTTCCTATGTGAACCTGGCCATTTTGATACACAACTTCTGGATATTAGAAGGTTCTCTGAGCTAGACCCCTTGTAGTGAATTACACTGTTTAATGGTACATTGGACCCGGAGTGATGGATAGTGCGGGTCCATCAACCATTAAAGAAAACTGATCATGTTCCTCCAAAGTCAACTTGGTACAGCAAACACCAAACACCTTAGCTAAAACATAGCTGATAACTAATTGCTATTGGATCTGGTTATTTTTAAATTTCCAGGTGTTAAGTGCCATCAATTGTAAGAACTCTTGAAATTGTATGCCTCTCATTTTCAAAGTCAAAAGTCCAGGAGTTCTATATTTTAAATGCTCATTGTAGGAATCTTCTTGTAGTTTGTTGTTGTTGTTGTTCAGCTGTCCAAACTCAAGCATTCTAATTGGTATCAGCTTTGTTGGAAAAGCAGCATAACCTCTATGTACTGAAAACAGAGAACATAATTTTTAAATTGCAATAGTTCTATGAAGTTCTAAGAGTGACTGAACATCTTTAAATTTATAATTTTATCAGATTTGTGAGTTGAGTTTGATTATACAGGAGATCTGATACCTGCTTCTTTCCCCTCTCTGTGCCCATGGTGTCCCTCCCTGTTTACAGATGTTTAGCTCCCAACAGCATCTAAGTTCTTCTCATCCTCTTCCACATGGCCTCTTCTCTACATTTAATTGTGAAATGTCTGTTCTGCCAGTCTTTGAATCATGTTCTGGGTTATTTACACTGATAAGGGTATTATCTGGTTGTATCCATTGGATGAGGGGAGCTCAGGGAAAAAGATCCTCACCCCAGGCACCTTAGGCATAGGGAACCGGAACAGGAAAGAGGAAAGAGGAATCCCTCTAACATTTGACTTTGAAAACAAGAGGCACACAATTTCAGGACTTCTTACAGTCAGTGGCACTTAACACCTGGAAACTTAAAAATAACCAGGCTGGGCTCTAGGAGAACCAGGAGAGTCAGAGGAAACTGAATTCCGATCCTTAGAGAGACAGCACAACAAAGAGCCTTGTGGAGATACAGCATAGAAGCAACAGTCTGCAAAATGCCTGGGGCATATGGGAAAGAAATTTGTTTACTAATCAAGACTATGTTCTGGAGGGGCAGGGATCATTGGGCGACTTCTCTAAGAATAAAACAGCTGGCCGGCACCACTTCCCTCCCCCGCTACTCCCAGCCTAGACACACGTGGACACCTGTGGGAACCAGCGAGGTGTTGATGCCTGCTACCCGACTTGCTAACAGCATGCCCTGCCAGTGTTCTCTGGCCCCTCCAGCTAGGCTTCAACTCAAGCCCAGAGTGGCTCCAGACGGGCCCACTAACAACACAGGGACCACACACTATCCACAACAGGCAAAAATTGGTAGAATTTCTCTCTGTCTAAAGCCACAAGCTTATATTGGCCTGGTGCTTTCAAGGCTGTATCTTCCACTACGCCAAAGCAACTTGTACAACAGCAAAGCTGGTAAAGAAGAAAGCAGAACCAAGAGACAGAAATAATAGGCTGAGGACAAGATCACCCTTGTCTGAAGCCCACATAATCTTGAACTTCGAACTCTCCTCGCTCCCTCCATCATCTCTCTTTCTCTTCTCCACTTCCTTCCTTCTTTCTCTTCCTTCCCTTCTTGTTTGTACTTAAATTAGGTTTAGCTGGATTGCTGTCAGTTTTAAAAGTCTCTGGTTGTATGGCTATACTGAACCTTCTTATCTTTATTCAGAAAGTTGGGAGAACTAAGATTTGGCAAGAATGTTCTATTCTGCAGTGAGCACTTCATTTTACAATAAAGACATGAGGCTCAAAGAAGGCAAATGATTTGCTTAAGATTGCCTAGTCTAAAGCCACAGCTAAAGCTTTGCTTTCCTTGCATTCCTAGAGCAATCTTCTGAGGTATATATCATACTTTCACTTGTATCACTCAGTACTTAATTGTATCTTTCTTAATACTGTTATTTTTAAAGATGCACATGTTTTGTATTCCTTTGATTTCCTTTAGGAGTTCTCTGATGTCAACAATCAAGGCTCCGATGTCTTCATATTCATATCCTAACTACTTCCTTTTTACCTTTGTTGCTTAACTTGAATCCCCAAAATTGTCTTCTCCACCTACATCACTGCTCTGTGCAATTGCTCACTTGTTAGGTTCTTTGTTCAAGTACGTGCATTTGGGATGATGAATAGGATTATTAACCTGTGCTGATAAAATATGGTCACTGGGCTTTGCTGAGAAGCAACTACTCTGCTGTGACCACAA